CCTACACGACGCTCTTCCGATCTCCCCAAAACCCCAAAACCCCAGCATAGTAAAATATAGATAGATAATTAGATAAGAATCATGTTAAATTTATATTTTTTAATATTTTAATATCTCAATTGGGATTTTACCACTACAGGTTTAAAATGGAAACATATTGCGATTCAAACTATTACGACTTCTTATTTAAAATTGTTCTAGTTGGTGATTCAGGGGTTGGGAAGTCAAATCTGCTATCAAGATTTATTAACAATGAGTTCTATGATAATAGTTCCACAACAATAGGTGTGGAATTCCAAACTAAAAGCATGCAAATTTAGGGCTAACTTGTGAAATCTCAGATCTGGGACACAGCTGGGTAGGAGCGATACAGAGCTCTTACTAGTGCTTACTATAGAAATGCAGTTGGTGCACTTCTCATATATGACATCACTGATAAGAGGTCTTTCGAAAACTTAAAAAAGTGGGTTAGCGAATTAAGAAATCATTCTCAGTAGAATACTGTCTTGATCTTGGTGGGAAATAAATGTGACTTGACAACCTAGAGAGCTGTTAAAATAGAAGATGCCGAGAGATACGCAGCTCATGAGAGTAAGATTTCATAAACCCTTAATTTATTAGACATGGCTTTTATTGAAACATCTGCTTTAAATGCCAAGAATGTTAAGGTTGCTTTTACAAATTTGATTAATGAGATTTATAAATTGGCCAGGATGGGCAAGTTTTCAGATCAAAATGGAACAATGGATGGAATGTTCGGCAATAATATCTCATCAACTGCAGATGGGTCTAAACCAAGATCTGGCTAGGGTTTTGGCAAGGGCAACAATCTTAGCATCTCTGGAATAAACAACAATAAAAGTATAATCCTGAGTTCCTAGGATCATAAAAATAAGCAATCAATCTTAGAATAAGGAAAGAAAAACAATAATAAATGCTGCATCAAATGAACAGCTTATTTAAATGAGTCAGTCTATGAAACCAAAAGATTTTTCTATAAACTTGATATTTAAAGAAAAAGTAAACAATTATAATAATGAGTATGAGTGTGCTAGATTATTTAGTTAGTATAGTATTAATTATCTTAACCATAATATCAATGATTCCTATTCTGCTAATTTCATCTAGTCCACATTTAGTCTCACTCCAAAGCCTACAATTATTTATTTATCTTATTTCTGTCCTATGGAAATTTATTAATGCCTAATGTATTTTACAGATGCTTTTAATTTTTAGAATTCTTGCAAATATGTTAAAGACTTAAGTATTTGTATTTTTTCGCTTCTACTTAATATTGTATTCTCTATCAATAAATCAAATACATTTTTGCTGCCCTGATAATGATTTTAACAACTTAACTTTAATTCTTACGACATCTCTTTTGCTAATTTTCATAGATATCTATTGCTCAACTCCAATTTTTTCAATTATGTTATTTAAAATCTTAAAAGAGCCATTGATTACTGTATACATTAGTAAAGTCTGATCAGCCTAAAAAATTAAGAGATATCTTATTTATACACTATTTATTGATGCGCTCATAAGTAATGGGTTTAACATCAAATATTCCAAAACAAGCTATATTTAACTATCTTTTTTGTCTTAAATTATCAAAAGCAACTCTTGATCATTAGTAATTAACTTGACTTCTTTATCAATTTATTCTTAAGTCTCTGTTATTTATGATTTTAATACTATATTTTCAGAACATTCAAAGAAATTTTCTACAAAATAGTCGGGATCTAATGTGCTTTATAAGCCTTCCTCTATTTATGGTTTACCATTTAAATTTGCTTTCTTATTGTTCTTCCTTGCTTAGTCAATCAAGATCCTATATATTTTTGAATTTGAATTTGATTTGTAAATATTCATACTATCTTTATGCCTTGAATTTATCAAAGTCATCCTAAATCTTGTGTTTTTAATTCCAATGAAATTTTTCTATTTTTTCTTTTTCCATTTGAGACATTTTCTAGCTTAGAGTTTTGATTCTTTACATTAGGTTGTTTGCATGAGTGTTTACCACATGCAACTATTCAAGGATTTTTTAATTAGACTTCTAAATCAACTCTGGTATACTCTCTCTATTAAAAATGCTTAGTTGCTGCTTACTAATTCTTTTGGTCTCCTTTATATAAATTAGTTATTTCTGTAAATTACGCTAATCTATTAGTTTATCTCATCTTATTATTCATATATCTACTTAACACCTGACTATTCAATTAATTCTTCACTAAATTTGGATAGAGCTAAAATGGTATAATTAATGTTACATGAGTAATTATTGATCCATTAAAGTTAATCTGATTTTATATTTTTAAACAAATTAATTATTATACTACTTCTTTAAGGGGTTTTGGGGTTTTGGGGTTTTGGGG